TAAATGATTGTCCACTAGAACTCCAAGATCCCTCTCACAGTTACTACTATTGAGCAAGTTACCCCCTATACTATACCTGTGCATTTGGTTTTTCTTGTCTAAATGTAGAATCTTACTTTTTTCACCATTGAATTTCATTTTGTTAGATAGCACCCAATGTTCAAGTCTGTCCAGATCCTCCTGTATCCTAAGCCTGTCTTCTGGAGGGTTGGCTATTCCTGCCAGCTTGGTGTCATCTGCAAATTTGATGAGTTCCCCATCTATCCCCTTGTCCAAATCATTGATGAAGATGTTGAAGAGCACTGGGCCCAGAACAGAGCTGTTCTGGGCCCAGTTTTCTTCCACATACTCTGAAGGATAACATGTTGGGGAAAAGTGTTTTGATCTTTTGTGCTCAGCCATGAAGGTTTACAGACATATTTGCAAACTGAGTATATTCTTTCTTTCTTTCTTTCTTTCTTTCTTTCTTTCTTTCTTTCTTTCTTTCTTTCTTTCTTTCTTTCTTTCTTTCTCTTTCTATCTATCTATCTATCTATCTATCATCTATCTGTCTTATTTCTTTTTTTTATTAAAAGTTTTAAAGATTTTATACAATATATATCCCAAATCCCTCTCCCCCTCCCCCACTTCCCAGAGCTGATTACAGCGTTACAAATAAACAATCATAATCTAACTAACATTACCCAACTATACAAACAATCAAATCCATAACATACTTAAGTCTTTTTCAAAATAAATATTAACAAATTAAATATGAAAATAATAATATAATTAAACCATAAAACTAAAACTAATATAAATTCTACCATATTAAACTATTAATAATAATCTAAAATTTATTCATAAGCTAGATAATACTTTTTAGTCTCATATTTATTCTGAATATAATCTATCCATCTTCTCCAAACCGAGATATATCTTTCTTGTGAGTAGTCCTTCAAATAAGCAGAAATTTTTGCCATTTCTGCTAAATTAGACACCTTAAGTATCCATTCTTCCATAGTAGGCAAAGAATCTTTCTTCCAATATTGCCCCACAAATAATCTTGCAGCTGTTATAAGATTCAACATCAAATTAATTTCTTTAACATCAAAATCTACAATAACACCTAACAAAAATAATTGTGGCGTAAACTTTATCTTTCTCTTAAAAATCTTTTGAATGTTCCACCAAATCTTAATCCAAAAAGCTTTTATATTTCTACAAGTCCACCAAATATGAAAATAAGTTGCATCTAAGCTTCCACATCTCCAACATTTGGGCTGTAAATTAGGATACATACAGGATCTATCTGTCTTATTTCTTAACTGCCCACATCTCTCAGAGAATGGCTCTGGGCAGTGTACAATATAATCAATAATTTTGCTCATTACATACACTTCTCTGTTGCTATTCTCTTTGTTATATTTGCAAAGTATATTGAAGGGCATTGTTTAAAATTAACATATGCATGTCAGATTGCTTGACATTTAACACTCACGTGAAGTATTAATACCACTTTGCAATGCCTTGGTAAGGCCACACTTGGAATACCGCATCCAGTTTTGATCACCATCAGTGCTTTTTTTGTAAAAAAAAAAAAAAAAAAGGTGCCAGAATTCACACATGTCATACAACCTGCCTTGCCTACCCTACAAGCTTCCATCTCAAAAAGATGCTGCAACTCCGTTCTGGGCGTTCTATGACAAAAAAAGCCCTGGTCACCATGATTTAAAAAAGATGTTGAGACTCTAGAAAGAGTACAGAGGAGAGCAACAAAGATGATTACAAGACTGGAGGCATGATAGCAGTGATCCAATATCTCAAGGGTTGCCACAAAGAACAGGGAGTCAAGCTATTCTCCAAAGCTCCTGAAGGCAGGACAAGAAGCAATGGATGGAAACTAATCGAAGAGAGAAGCAACCTAGAACTAAGAAGAAATTTTCTAACAGTTGGAACAATTGATCTGTGGAAGAAGCTGCCTCCAGCTTGGAAGTTTTTAAGAAGAGACTGGACAACCATTTTTCTGAAATGGTATAGGGTTTCCTGCCTGAGCAGGGGGTTGGACTAGATAACCTCCAAGGTCCCTTCCAACCTTATTATTAATAATAATAATAGTAATAATAATAATAATAAAAACAAAATCTACTTTAAAAATCCAGAGATATCCAAGCATAAGATTTTTCTGAATAATGAATGCTTCATAATGTTATACTGAGGACTAGTTCAAAAACAGGAATAATGTTCTATTCTCCTTAGTCCTGGTGGCACATTGTAGATGCATGGTATGTTGTAACCATCCTTCCATGACTATGTTTACGATTAACTATTCACAGTGTAAAACCTGGAATGATTTCAATAAGTATTTTGCAACATAATTTCCAATCAGAGTACTAGTTGGAGCAACATCGCCCTGGTATTACGTTATGATTGTTCTGCATGACAGTAAACCCTATGCAAAAAAAAAAAAAAAATCTAAAGAGAAGGACAGTGGAAAAATAAATGATTCATCTTCTATGAATTCTTTGAATATCCTGTAGCCTAAAGGTGTTTTAGAGTTCTTGCCAGATGATTGAGAAATTGAATACTTTGTGTTTAATAAGGGGAACACAAAGGGGAACACCACGTACAAAAATATCAGCAAAATAATAATGCATATGTCTTATAGGCTGAGTGAGTTTGAGTGGAATCTAGATTTCCTCTGCCAATAGAAAGCTTTCATCAGAGAAAAGAGAAAGGAGAATCATTTGCTGCTGTTCCTTCACTTTCTCCAGCCCAAAAGACCCCCCCCACACACACACACTTTCAAATTTCACTTGAACAGTTTGAAGACCTTCCAAATTGAGCAGAAGGCTGGAGGAGGTTATAGGGGAGGGCAAGTTCAAACCCATTTTTCTTAGCTTTTTGCGTTTGTAGTTGTCTTTGTTAGTCATTGCATTGTTTCTATGTATGGAATTTAATATAAGTGCCCAAATTGGTGCTGGCATATCCATATATAGTACAGGTAGTCAAGTTACAACAGCACTGAAAAAAATGACTCATGACCATTTTTCACACTTATGACTGTTGCAGCGTGCCCATGGTCACATGTTCAAAATTCAGATGCTTGGCACATGACTCATACTTATGACAGTTGCAGTGTCCCAGGGTCATCTGATCCCCTTTTGCAACCATCTGACAAGCAAAGTCAATGGGGAAGCCAGATTCACTTAACAACATCATTACTAATTTAACAACTGCAATGATTCACTTAAAAACTCAGGCAAGAAAGGCCATAAAATGGGGCAAAATTCATTTAACAAATGTTTCACTTAGCCAGTACAATAATTAGGAGCAAACAATTTTAAAGGAATTATTATATATTATTTAATTATTAAAATATCCATATTTAATATTGTCAATATTTAAAGGCAAAGATCTTCTTCATTATTCTATGCTAATTTTCATAAAGATAATATGAGCTAATAACCAAAGTGTCATTTGAGAATTATCACCAAAAGAGACTATATTTAGATGGAATTGAGGAACATGGTGGAAAAAAAGTTCCTGGAGTATAAGCTTGTCATATTTAACAAAGGGAGACTGGATTGACCTGTTCCTCTGCTTGTCAAAGCTGAACAAATCAATTTGCACTGTCCTTTTTTTCTTTCTTTATTGCTACAACACTATCCATTGTGCTGAATTTCTTAATGTACCCTTCTTCAGTGGGAATAAAATTAAAAAAAAACAACCACTCATTAATTCATTTCTTGTCTCTACAAAATAATAACAATAATTCCCCAGACTTTCTGTACATATCTGGGAAGCTTTAAAAGGTTTCAGTTACATCTTTGAGCACCCAGTTATTAAACTAGGGCAGTGATGGCGAACCTTTTAGAGACCGAGTGCTCAAACTGCAACCCAAAACCCACTTATGCATCATCGGGGGCTGAGTGGGTGTGGCCCATTGGGTGGCATGGCTGTGGTGGAAACAGCAGACTGGGTGGAACTAAAAAGTTCAATCAATCAATTCCAACTTTGCAAGATCTTTTTTTTTTCCCTGCGAGAAGTTGGAATTGACTGATTGATTGAACCTTTTTTTTTTTGTACATGGCGGCGGAAGCCTAAAATGAAAAGGTTTTATAAACCCCAGCTGAAGGCCTAGGACTGGGGCGACGGTGCATGTGCCCACAGAGAAGGCTCTGAGTGCCGCCTCTGGCACTCATGCCATAGGTTCGCCACCACTGGTCTAGTTTAATGAAGAGAAGGACGAGGGGGGACATGATAGTAGTGTTCCACTATCTCAGGGGCTGCCAAAGTGAAGAGGGAGTCAAGCTATTTTCCAAAGCACCTGAAGGCAAGACAAGAAGCAATGGATGGAAACTAATCAAGGAGAGAAGCAACCTAGCACTAAGGAAAAACTTCCTGACAGTTAGAACAATTAACCAGAGGAACAACCTGCCTCCAGAAGCGGTGAATGCTCCAACACTGGAAGTTTTTAAGAAGAAACTGGACAGCCATTTGTCCGAAATGGTATAAGGTTACCTGCCTGAGCAGGGGGTTGGACTTGACTTCCAAGGTCCCTTTCAACTTTATTATTATTGTTGTTGTTCTTGTTGTTGTTGTTATAAGTTCCATAACTGTTCATTGGCAAAAGCCATGATGTCTAGAAAATTATGAGAACTGGAGTCTAATATTCTCGAAATCCAAGAAGAAATGAATTGTTGGATTAAAATAAAATTTTAAAAAATCTTCAGGGCAAATATGCATTTTTCTGCATATGGATGAATGAATAAAAAATGTTGGTATATCTTTAAAAAAAATCAATTCAGAAAAGGGAAACCTATATGCAAAAGCTTTCTTCCAGACACTCTAAACAGATGCTGGAAAAAAATAGTTTTTTCAGTTATGATTTTGGGAACAAGGCTTAGTAGCTGAATTTTGTTCCCATGGCTTCACCTTCCTTATAGAGATTATAACCTTATATGATAGAGAATATACAATATTAGTCAGCCAGCTAAAGAGAGTTTGGCAGTACTAACCAGGCCAATAGTACATAGAGACCTTCCTCTGGGCTTTTGTCATAGTGACCCACAAGGGCTCGGATCCATCCCACCAAACAGGCAGGAGGCTGTCTGGGTTCATGCCAATGTCAAAAGATAGATTTGTCACTGGGTCCCACATGTAGTTTCCAGTCATTTGATGGACTTCACAGTGGCGACCTGGAAGAGAAAAAAGTTGCTTTATACTGGTCCTTTGTTGTATGGCATAATAAGAAATATATAAGATACAAAGAGAAATTATAGTAGGTTTTCATTTGCAGTACAATCTTGGCTTATCAGTGAGCTATTATCATACATTGCAAAATGTATGGAAGTGCCATTCCTATTTCTCTTCTATAAATATTATGCTCAGATTTCATCCTACTCAGTGCAGTTTTTCTCTTATATCTCCTAACTCATATCTAAATCATCATTATTTGTTTGGATGGAAGATATGGGGTTCAAGTTGTGCTTCTTCAAAATCTTTCAGGCATTCAGACCTCTAGTGAGGCTTCTTGTAGAAGACTTAATACTGTCAGAGAATAGTGAACTCTTTTGTGTAAAGCAAACTACAAAGATACAGTAATCAAATTGGTACAATTTGACCATGTCTTATTGCAATTTACTTATTGTATGCTTTCACAACAGCTTTCTCCAGAATGTTTTAAAGAAAGTTGATAGAGACATGCATTCCAGCTAGATCTTCAAGTCATCATACAGCCTTATCCAAGTTTATCAATAACAGATCTTTCATTATCTTAGAAAAATACTTTTGCACATTTCCCTGCTGTTAAAACCTTCCTGATTACATTCATTGCTTTGACAAGCCTTACAGGCCGAGATAGTCCTGTTTTGAAGCATCATTCAATCTCTAGATGTACAGGTAGTCCTCGATTTGCGGCCACAACTGGAACCAGAATTTCTATCATAAATCATTGGAGTCATGTCAGGCCTGGTGTTACAATGTTTTGGGTGGTGGTTAAGTGAATCACATGGTTGTTAAATTAATCAATGGTCATTAAGCAAATCCCACTTCCCCAATTGGCATTTTTTGAGAAATTGGCAAAACAAGGTCACAAATCACAATCACATGCCCACAGGGCACCGCAACTGGCAGTAAATGCAAGCTAGTTGCCAAGCACCCAAATTGCAATCACAGGACCATGAGGGTGATGCGACAGTTATACATGCAGGTCATAAGTCACTGTTTTCATTAACAGTCATTACATGAATAGTCATAATAAACTTAGTCCCAGTACTCTTCAAAGACTTAGGTGAGGGAATAGAAGGGGAACTTATCAAATTTGCAAATGACACTAAACTGGCAGGAATAGCCAACACCACAGAAGACAAGCTCAGGATCCTAAAAGATCTTGACAAACTTGAACAATGGGCCCTGTCCAACAAAATGAACTTTAATGTGGAGAAAAGCAAAATTTTACATTTAGGCAGGAAAAATCAAAGGTATAAGTACAGATTAGATGAGACCTGGCTAAAAAACAATAACTGTTGGAGTCCTGGTAGATGATCACTTGAATATGAGCCAGCAGTATGCAGCAGCAGCCAAAAGAGCTAATATGATCCTGGGTTGTTATAAACAAAGGCATAGAATCAAGATCATGCGAAGTATTAGTATCGCTTTATAAAACCCTAGTAAGACCACACCTGTAATACTGCAACCAGTTTTGGTCATCATACTAGAAAAAAGATGTTGAGACTTTGGAAAAAGTTCAGAGAAGAGCAACTAAGATGATCAAAGGCCTGGAGACTAAAACATATGAAGAACGGCTGCAGGACTTGGGTTTGGCTAGTCTAAAGAAAAGAAGAAGTAGGGGTGACATGGTAGCAGTATTCCAGTATTTGAGGGCTGCCACAAAGAAGAGAGAGTCAAATTATTCTCCAAAGGACCTGAAGGCAGAACAAGAAGCAATGGTTGAAACTTATCAAAAAGAGAAGCAACCTGAAATTAAGGAGAAACTTCCTAATAGTGGGGACAATTAACCAGTGGAACAGCTCGACTTCAGAAACTGTGAGCGCTCCGACTTCCAGTTTTGCACGATAGCAACTGGTCATGGACTTGTGGATTCTCCACACCCCTGCAGCTAATTTTGCCCTGCCTGGGGACCCTAAATGGGTCTAAGTCACCCCGGAGAGGCGACGAAGAAAGAAGGTTGTTCCAGCAATTCTGGAATGGTAGCAGCCATTCCGTTTGACTTGGGGAAAGCCTTCTAACCCGATAGGAGAAAGGGTGGCCGTATTGCATCAACCAGCCCAAGCTACTAGCAACCAAAGTCCAAAAGCACTAACCAGCACAACTGTGAACAGCATGCTTCAAACTGGGGGAGGAATTTGATCTTCTCTTTTCTATACTAAGTAGTATGTTATTTTTTATGTTTCTTTACTCTTGCTCTCCTTTTTTTCATTGTTTTATCTATTCCTTAAGAAATGTAAAAGTGTGAGATGGTTCATATGGAAAAATAGAGTTAAAATTTTAAATGTAATTAATTTTTAGAAACATTTGAGAAAATGTTAACCAGTAAGAATACCTAGATTTTGATGGGAGAAACAAATTAAAATAAGGACTGTAACAGGATCTATGATAAGGCAATCAGAATGATTGGATAGAAAAGAAATATTATATTGATGTGATTATTATTTTAGGAATATTGGGAAAAAATTATATATGTAATTGATATCTATCAAAACAATAAGAATTGTATTAACTCAGTATTTGCAAAAGAGGATATTTTGGGAAAAGAGGAAATCAACTAAAACCGTGATGTGGATTATGGATTATAGAAATCAATTGTTAATGATTGTTTTACAAATGTAACCCAGACAACACACTGTTCACCAATTATTAAGTGATTTATGTTTTAAAAAAATCAATAAAATATATTACAAAAACAATCGTTGGCACTCCATCACTGGAGGTTTTTAAGAAGAGACTGGGCAGTCATTTGTCTGAAATGTTATAGGTTCTCCAGCTTGAGCAGGGAGCTGGACTAGAAGACCTCCAAGGTCCCTTCCAAATTCTATTCTATTCTATTCTAAACTTGTAATGAAGTTTAGTAGGGAAACGGGAAAAATTATCATTTTCTGTTTAATGTTTCAATATAGCAATGCTCACTGGAGAAGCTTACTCTTCCTTGCTCAAAAATGTTGGGAAGGAGGGAAGGGGAAGGAAGGAAGGAAGATTGAAGGGGAGAGGAAGGAGATGGAGAAGGAAGGAGATTGAAGGGGAAAGGAAGAAAGGAAGGAAGGAAGGAGAGATTGAAGGGGAAGGAGATGGATGGAAGGAAGGAAGGAAGGTTTGATCTTTGGAGAGTCATGTTTTCCCAGATGGTGATGAACTGCAACTCCCAGCATTCCCCACTCTTCCACAGTGCTTTTTAGGGCTGCTGGGGATGGTAGTCTGGCGGAGAGCCTGGTGGAGAGCCAAGCGGTGGCACTTCCAAGGCCTCGGTAGCTGTGCGGAGGATCCGCATGCCTTGGAGCCGCTGGCCGCCCTCTCGCGCCTGCCAACTTAGAGCCCCCCCATCCTCATCCCGGCACCTCTTACCCTCTCCCATCCAGCCCCCCAGGATCTGCCCACCACTCCAGCCTCCTGAGCGCCATTGCAGCAGCGGGATCGTGGGAGCCCCTTTCCACACTGCACAGCCCTTTACCGCCACAACCTTTCCCCGACTCATCACATGCGAGACAGGCGCGGCCAGAGTGTCAGCTCCCATTCGGAAGGCGCCACTTCTCCCCTCCCGGCCCGGCCAGCTGGCCTCCGATGCACATGCAGGCATCGCCCTCTTCCCCACTGCCTGGCCACTTCTGAGGCCCGGAGCCCGTTGAGCCAGGAAGGAGTCGCTCCTGCCCGCCAGCCCCAGGGCCGCGCCAGGCACCAGAGGGCTGAGGCGGCCTCCGACAGTGAGGGAGGTGGGCCAGGTGGTGTGGGGAAAGCTCCAGCACAGCGCGGAGGGTGGCCGGGGGCGGAGCACTGCCAGGCAACCAGGAGTCATGGGGACCGGCTCGGCGCCACAGCTCAGCTAAGCTAGCGGCGGCAGGAGCGGCGGAGCAGCCCAGCGGCAGCGCCAGCAGTGGCCCAGACACAGCTCGGCTTGGACCGGCTGCCCACGCAGCTGAGCCGGCCCGGGGCGGCATCGGGGGCATGTGTCAAGCCCCTGGGCTTGCCATGAGCCGGGAGATAGGGAAGATGCAGCCGGCAGCCAGCCGACATCCGCATGTCCCCATGAGCACCGCCCAACTCCTGACAATCAGCTGGGAGTCGGGTTGGCGTACAGACGGTGGGGAACCGGCGGGGCCACTACACACCGCCCGGCTCCTGACAGCCAGCTGACAGTCGGCCCGGCATGCGCATGTAAGCTGGAAGTCAGCCCAGCCTCCGCGTGTCGGCCCGGCTCCTGGGAATCAGCTGGGAGTCGGCATAGCCGTCATGGGATGGTGCTGTGGCGTCACGAGCAGGTGCTGTCAGAGAAGAAGGGTGCCCTGGAGGCAGAGGAGCCGGCGGAGAAGGAGGAGGATGGCAGGGTGGCCGGATAGAAGAGCGGTGTCTTGGTTCCTAAGACCATCGGAAATATGTGTTTTCCAATGGTGTTAGGCGACCCCTGTGAAAGCGTCATTCAACCCCCAAAAGGGTCACGACCCACAGGTTGAAAACCGCTGGTCTAATCTAATGAAGAGAAGGATGAGGGATGACATGATAGCAGTGTTCCAATATCTTAGAGGCTGCCACAAAGAAGAGGGAGTCAAGCTATTCTCCAAAGCACCTGAAGGCAGCACAAGAAGCAACGGATGGAAACTAACCAAAGAGAGAAGCAACCTAGAACTAAGGAGAAATTTTCTGACAGTTAGAACAAATAATCAGTGGAACAACCTGCCTCCAGAAGCTGTGAATGCTCCAAAACTGGAAGTTTTTAAGAAGAGTCTGGATAGCCATTTGTCTGAAATGGTATAGAGTTTTCTGCCTGAGCAGGGAGTTGGACTAGATCCAAGATCTCTTCCAACTTATTATTATTATTATTATTATTATTATTATTATTATTATTATTATTATTATTATTATCTTGGAAGAAACAACTGGAAGCAAGTCAGAATCAGAAAGTGATAAGTTGCACCTTAAGTATAAATTAATAAATCTGGCCTTGACCTCTGTTTATTTTGAGCAATATCAACTCTTTTCTAGGTCATATGTATTTATTAGTTAGTTCATCAACCAAATTTGCTTCCCTTCCTGACTTTAACACCATTGCTGTTAAACTGGAAATCGCAAGAAAGTGTGTTGCTGATTACTTAAGATTTCTGCAGCTCAATCAGAAGAAGCTGATATTTGGCTTCCAGTTTGTGATTTCGGCGCTGGCAGACGTGCAGGGTGATTGCTCCCTCCGCCATCCAGTTTTCTCCCACCGGGGGACCCTGAAAAGGGTTGGAGGTCGCCCTGGAAGGGCGATGAACGTGAAGAGGACTCTCGAGTGATCGTGGAAGGGCGGCAGCCCTCTCGTTTGATCCTTGGCAACTCTTTGAACTAATGGAGAAAAAATCAGCCATTAACATGGCCCAAAACTAAGCCACTACCAGCCGAGGCCAAAATTACTAACAAGCACTTCGAAAGCACCGCAGAGGAATTGGGTGCGATCTTACCTTCTTTGTATCACAAGTATCTTCCTGTAAAAAGCTTCTTAATTGCATCCCTCTGTGAGGAGAGAGGGAAGGGAACGTTTTCCTCCCACACTCTAAAATGGCGGCATTTGTCTACCTCCGGGACATAAAGCCTTGAAAAGAACAACTAAATAATTGGATTTGCATCTATTTGATATTCAGGGACCCAAAAAGTTCCTACTTTCATGGGGATTTGCTACTCTATCTACTCATAAAAAAGATGAAAAAGAACTTAAATTAGACAAAAACCTAACTTGGGATTTGAAAAAGATTTTAAATGCTATTGAGAACATCTTGTGGCGAAACTTGGTACAGCAAGTGAATATTCTTGACAAAAAGACCTGCTCATATCCCAGATCTGTTCTTGGTATTATCTAAAAGAGATTAAAAGCTGAGAGAACAGCTGGGCAGTGAAATTGCTTTTTAGGACTGTAGAGGTGAATACTCACTGACTCTCGCTTAATAAATAGCTAAGAGACGATTTATAGCCATATCAGAAATGGAGGAGGACCAGCAACAAATTTTGGCTAATTACAAAGTTATACTTCAAAAAATTCTTGAAGCTACTGAGATAATTAAAGCTAGACTGAAAGACAAAGGCACCAGCTTAAACCTACAAAGCGAAACCCTGACTGCAACCAACGAACTTAAAATTCAAAAAACAATAGAAGTGGAAGAAATCAATTCCAAGACAGAGGACTTTAAAGAACAACAAGTACAACGTACTGAAAATCTAGACAACCAAACCCTAATTGCAAGTAAAGAATTTACAACCCAAAAAACAACAGAAGCGGAAGAAAGTAATACCAAGATCGAGGGTGCTAAAGATCAACAAGTACAGCCTACTGAAAACCTAGACAACCAAACAACAACCATAAAATTGGATATGACTTTCTACTTACACCAGAAGAAACCTGAGGAAGAAGACCAGATTGAATTGAAGAGCAAATATGGGGATCTGGGCCACCAGGGTGACAACTCCTTTGATTCAACTAACATGCACAAGAATGAAGTGAGATCTATCTGATGATCTAAAGACATTGGTATGGAAGCCTGGTTGGCATAAAAAGAAAGCTAGAGTTAGATTTGAAAAATGGGGTCTTTTGATATTAGAGAAGATCCTAAAGTCTCAACTAATGGGCTAAAGGGAGATTTTGAGGTGAAGGGAAATATGATTATTAGAGTTAACTATTGTTGGAAAATGATAAAAAAATAAAGGATTAATTGGCCTAATATTGAGGATTTAGATTTATAAAAGAAGCTGATATTTATCCACTTTCACAAGAGCAACTTTTATAGTTCGCAGTGTTGTTCTTAGATACTGTTTAGTAATGCAAAGGCAGCAAAAGAAATTTCTCATCCCATGAAATACAGCTATTTCTTTGGTGGGATGTTCCAATCAGATAATAACAAGTAGGCATTTTAAAAAGATGTGTTGCCTCTTAATTGTAGGTCCTGTGGGCTATTTTTGGACATATTTTCTATGGCTTGCTTGGCATTCCTACTGTTCCAACCAGATCAAGAAGGAAAAATGAACTTTGAGAACAGGTCATAAATGCTGGTTCTGAAGGAGTCCTGTGGGACTTTTCTATGGGACGAAATCCTAAGTAAATAATTGCAAGTCTTAAAGGCTTGCTCTCTCATCATAGGATGCAATGTGCCTATAACTGCACCAGTTCAGACTCAATTAATTGTGATGTTATGATTCTCTGCAAAGATTTTTATTTTGCAAATGTTACATGAGCGAGCACTGGTACGTGTACTTTGTACCAGTATGTTAGAACTGTTCTAGGAAAGCAGATACATTGCAATTTTCTAAGAAATAATTGGTAGATAGAAATGGGAATGAACATACTTGTCCACTGAAAAAACAAAGTTGAAGTTGCATCTCACAATTTAGGCCCATAACTAGGAGTAATTAGCAAACCATAAACAGATTTACTATCAATTAAAAATAGGACAACATATTTCTTGTCCTAGTGTGATTTTCCAAGTTTAGTTTTAAAAAATGCCCATTTTATTGATAAAGGACTGGTGATCTCATTAAAGTATTTTTACAATATGCTGAAATTTGAATGTTCATTTTTATCAATGAGCTAAATATTTCTCATTTGTCTGTTTTGAAAAGCCCGTGAAGAACCATTTATATTTCTATGCTAAATTGGAAAAACATCTTGCATTCTATAACCGTTTAATTGCTTTGAATAATTCCAGGAATTCTCTTTTCCAGATAGGACAAGTCTAATCAGGAGTTAATAGTGCAATGAACTCATCTTTTTAATCCTTCTAAACATATCACAGTTGTTGATGAATGGAGTGCTTAAAATTTAAATTTTAAATGAATACAAATAATTAACTGAATAGGCACTCACATTTATTTAAAAAATTTGAATGGCATTTTCACCTTGAGGATTTTCAAATTGAGATGATAAATTCTAAATAATTGGTGGGAGGGTATTTATACAATAGCTTGCTTTCTTAGTATCAAGCAGATTTACTTTGTACAGTTTGTTTCCACCAAGTTCGTTAACCTATGCCAAGACAAATATTCATCAGATACTTTTGTCTGCATTGGCTCCCACAGGCAGAGTTATGGAAATCTGAGTGCGGCACTTCAGGCTGATGGCCCTGATGAACACAACAACAGAAAATTTAAGAAGATACTCACCAGTCATCAAGGTGTAATAGTTTGGATAGGAAAGACTAGGAAAGTCGGGGGTTAGGTAATCCACTTTCACTCCCCTGTTGACAATCTCTTTGAAGCCAGGCAAAGACTCTAGTGCTTCCTCAGAGATATAATCATATCGAACCCCATCAAGCAAAAACAGCAGGAGCTTTGGCTGTGCAAGAGATGAGCGTACCAGGGTAAGGACTAGCAGGAGATACACAACATGCTTTGCCATGTTGCTGGATGGAGGCTTGCCAGAATATTCTCTATGCTCTTAGTCTTTATGCAGTTGCTCTGAAAAAAAAAAAGCATCTGGAGGTTGTTGTTTTTTTCTTCAAGGGTTGGCCCTCACTGTTCTCTGGACTTACCCCAGAGTTTAAAGGTACAGCAGCACAAATTGAACTTGCAAGTTACAGCCTAGTTACCAAGAGGCTTTGAACTTTGCTACTGTGGAAGCTTGCACTCCAGTAGTGAATACTAATTATAGAACAAAAGAAGCACGAAAAAGAGTGAATCATAGGGACCAAGCTGCATGCCTGCTGATTGACGCTGCTATCCTGCCATACAAAGAGTTAAAAAACACCATTAATACAGTGTCTTGTTTTCCTAAATGTCAGTTTTTCAGAGCAGTGAATAAATTTGAAAATGTAATTGGGGTATTCTTAGCTTTATAATCAGCAACTAACTATAATTTTAACCTGAAGGATGATTTGATTTGATTTTTAAAGTTTGAATGTATTTGTTAAGAGCATATATTTATAATTTTAGGAAGAGATTTGTTTACTAATGGATGAATGTATGGGAGATATTTCTATCCTAGTGATTTCTTGTGTTTACAAACCATTTGCTTTGTCAAGTGGCTGTTAAACATCTGATGTGCCTCTTGGCATTTTCAAATTCTTGTCTTGCTGCCATTCATGAATACACACACGTTATCATAATCAGCAACCACAACTGTATATAAAATTCCAAAAATGTGTGGAAACATGTAAACCAGGATCGAAATAAATGAGTAAACATTGTATTTCGGACAGCATTTTAATGATCATGCAACTAGAATTATATGATGATAATATATTTTTTAAAAATTAAGACATTTCTAAAAATTTTTAATTGACTGATAAAATGCAATCACTTTTGCATTTTGCTGAGAAAAAAAATCCAAACTGTTGTGTCCTGAGCCTGCAAAAGCAGGCTCGGGACATTGCATTGGTCCCGGGCATTCCAAAAGCTGCCCAGCACCAGACTGAGCGGCGCCAGCATTGCGCGCATGCGCAAGGCGCGAAAACCATCTGCTGATTGTTGCCATTGTGTCCGGGTCTCCGGACAGATAAAGAGAGGCCTGCGTGCCGTTTGTGTTGTTGGGGTGTTGCTGTTAACGAATAAAGAGTTGTTAACTGCACAATGAGTCTTCGTCATTCGCCTACAATCAAAGGATTTAACACTGGCGGCGAAGGTGGGATGCTTTACAAACTGAAGAAAAGAAAGTTTTAAAGACTTACCAAAAAGTCCTGAAGAGGGGAAGACGGCGTTGGAATCAGCGTCCCAGCCTGGCAGTATAGCATCGCTGGAGGGTGAGCTCGGCTGAAAGACCCTTTCCCCAACAGAAGTTGCAGAGGAGCGAGTGGTAAAGGTTATAAACTACAGGATGGCGAAGATTGGTCGTTTATCCAAATTTGATGTCTCACACCCAGAGAGATGGGAATCCTACGTTGCAAGGGTGGAGAATTACTTCAGGGTAAACCAGATTAGAGAAGATGGCTTGAAGGCTGCAACCCTGTTGTGTGTCTGTGGACAGGAAGCTTTTGAAACTGCATAGAATCTGGTGGCCCCTGCACCTCTGGAGTCAGTAACGTATACTGACTTGAAGAAACTGCTGAAGGAACATTTCCAGCCCATGTTATCTGTTATTGCTTGGAAGCACATGTTTGAGCAAAGGGACCAGAGGGCAGGTGAATCTGCTAAGGATGTTATTGCGGCCTTAAGGCAAGCAGCCAGACCGTGTGAGTTCAAGAATCTAGAAGAGAGGCTGCGAGATCGCTTTGTATGCGGTTTAAGGAACAGAGACTTACAGCAGAAGATTTTTGCAAAAAGAAGATGCCTCTTTCCAAGATGCTCTATGAGATGTGACAACTGAGGAAGCAGCAGGCAGAGCAGTAAAGACTTTGCGGCCCACCAGGAGCCCTCCAGAGGCAGCCACCGTCCATCAAGAGGACACTCGAGAAGATTCGGAAGCAGATCCTGAAGAAGAGGTGGATAGGCTTCACCAGACAGCTGAAAGGAGGCAGAAGGAACGTCCAGACAAGGCCCCAGCTGCTCTCCAAGGCTTCAGGTGTGGAGGACGTCACAAGCGAGCTGACTGCAGGTTCCGCTCCGCCATTTGCAAAGCGTGTGGCAGGCAAAGCCACATTGCATCCGTCTGTTTGGGTTACCAGAAGGTCCAACCCCATGAAGAATTGCGTCTGAAAGGTACCAGGGTCCCCAGCCAACATAGGGTGGGTTTCTGCGCATCGCGCAGGAGTATTTTGAGCACAGGCACACATAAACCCCTAAAGAAGAAACTGTCCCTTAAAGTAAGGTTGCAAGGGGTTCCTTTATCCATGGAGTTGGACACTGGGTCCGCTCTCTCCATTATTTCTATTAACACATTCAAAAGGATTTGCAACAGCAGTGGCCTTCGAGCCAAACTCAGGCCATCCAATATAATACTTACAGATTTTCAGAATTCTATGGTGTGTGTTAAGGGGGAGGTCACCCTTAAGGTACAGCACAAGGATTTTGAAGGTCCCCTAGATATGGTGGTTGTTGGGGGTGAATGCACGAGTCTTATTGGACTCGATTGGTTTGAGGCTCTGGGAATCCAGGTCACTGGGCTGCACCATTTGCAAACATTGAGCCTGGCAGAAGTCTGCAAGGAGTTTGCAGATATGTTTAGTTCAGAGCTTGGATCCTATAAGGGGCCTCCAGTTTCGCTACGGTTAGACCCAACCATCACGCCCATCAGGGTTAAGCCTAGGAGGGTACCTTTTGCTCTCAAAGGCAAGATTGATGCTGAGCTGGACAAATTGCTCCAGCAGGGCATTTTAGAACCTATAGACTCAAGTCCATGGGAAACCCCCATAGTAACACCTCTAAAGGCTAATGGGGACATACATATATGTGCAGACTACAAGTGTACACTGAACAAGGCGCTGCAGCAGCACGCTTATCCAGTACCTGTAGTAAGTCACAACCTGGCCTCCATCAAGGGGGGACGCATTTTTGCGAAGCTTGACCTGGCACAGGACTATCAACAGTTACCTGTTGATGAGGCAGCTGCTGAGGCCCAGACTATTGTAACTGACAGAGGGGCCTTCAAGGTCAAGAGACTGCAATTTGGGGTAAATGTAGCCCCTGGCATATTCCAAAGTGTCATGGAAAGCACACTTCTCCTGGAGTCTGTCCCTATTTTGATGATGTCCTCATTGCTGGAGAGTCATCTCAAAACTTAGAGAGACTAAGGGCTGTCTTGCTTCGTTTTCGCAAAGCAGGCCTTAAACTAAAGAAGGATAAATGTAAGATAGGAGTCACTTCTTAGGATTCAGGATAGATGCTCAAGGCATTCACCCTGCTGAAACTAAATTGCAAGCTATTCAGCAGGCCCCAAATCTAAGAGTGAGCTACAAGCCTTTTTGGGGCTATTAAATTTTTATCATACATTTCTCCCACATAAGGCTGCTGTGGCAGAGCCTTTACACAGGCTCTTAGACAAGCAGGCTCCTTGACAAGAGTTTCAATGAGGTTAAGGCCTTGCTCATGTCTAATGCTGTTTTAGCACATTTCTTGCATCGCCTGTGATGCATCTCCTTATGGGGTGGGAGCTGTACTTAGCCATCTGAAGGCTGATGGGACACAGGTCCCTGTAGCCTATTATTCAAGGACTCTGTCTTCTGCAGAGCGTAATTATGCTCAAATTGACAGAGAAGCATTGGGTCGCTGCCTCATCACTAAACTGGACAGGTTGCACCCTTACTGGGTGGCTTCACAGGTGTTACAACCGCGGGAACCGAGGAGACTTCAAGTGGGCAATCCGGTCTGGTCTCAAAACTATGGGCCTAGTCATCTCTGGGTCACAGCTGTGGTCTGCAAGTTCTCTGGGCCGTTGTCATACGAAGTTGCCTTGGGAGATGGCCACGTTCTGTACAGACACATAGACCAACTGCGGTGGAGACTGGACTCTCACTCTATAGTGGCTGGCATTAAGAAATGTCATGATTTCTTATACGGCCACCATTTCACGGTCTTTACTGACCATAAGCCTTTGCTGGAGTTGTTTACCACTAACAAACAGACCCCACATATCATTTCTCCTCGTATGCCGAGATGGTCCATTTTCCTGTCAGCATATGACTACACATTGGTTCACAAACCTGGAAAAGAAATGGGTCATGCTGATGGCCTAAGCAGATTGCCTTTGAACCAATTGGAGCCTGATCCTGCTCCAGCCATTAATATTCTGTCCATTCAGGAGTTGCCTGAATCTCCCCTAAATGCTAGGGATGTAGCTACAGAAACTGCCACTGATCACACACTTACACGCGTGCTGGCATGGGTGTTGTCAGGATGGCCTGACAAGTGCCCAGATACTGTGTTCCAAAGTTTCTGGCACAAGAAGCATGAGTTGTCCACTTTCAAGGGATGCCTGTTATGGGGTAGCAGGGTAGTGATCCCAGCCTCACTGAGGTCTAGAATCTTGGTCTCTCTGCACGAGGGACATTCTGGCATAGTCAGGATGAAAGCGCTTGCGCGCAGCCATCTTTGGTGGCCTGGACTCGATAAAGCCATTGAGGCCCAGGTGCATGGGTTCCAAGTGTGCCAACAGTTGCGGACTGAAATGCCTCAGGCCCCAGTACATAGGTGGGAGGAAACTCAAACCCCATGGTCTAGGGTGCATATAGATTATGCTGGGCCCTTTCAGGGGCAATTCTTCCTGGTTGTTGTTGATAGCCATTCCAGGTGGCTAGAGGTTGTTCCTGTTTCCTCCACTACTACTGCCAGGACCATCCAGGTGTTGAGAGGAATTTTTGCATCACATGGTCTTCCAGATGTTCTGGTTTCAGATAATGGCCCTCAATTTACCTGTTCTGAGTTCCAGGCTTTTCTTCAAGCCAACCTGATCCACCATGCAACTTTGGCTCCCTTCCATCCATCCTCCAACGGATTGGCAGAGAGAATGGTGCGCACCACCAAAGATGCCCTCAAGAACAGTAACACGGTAACTGGCATCACAGGTTAGCAGATTTCCTTCTTGCACACCACACCACACCTTTCACTGCCACAGGGCAGACCCCTGCTGAACTCCGCTGGGGTCGCTGCCTCATCACTAAACTGGACAGGTTGCACCCTTACTGGGTGGCTTCACAGGTGTTACAACCGCGGGAACCGAGGAGACTTCAAGTGGGCAATCCGGTCTGGTCTCAAAACTATGGGCCTAGTCATCTCTGGGTCACAGCTGTGGTCTGCAAGTTCTCTGGGCCGTTGTCATACGAAGTTGCCTTGGGAGATGGCCACGTTCTGTACAGACACATAGACCAACTGCGGTGGAGACTGGACTCTCACTCTTCCACTCCTGACTGTGCTCTGGGGGGGGAGGAGGACTATAAACATGCATTCTTAGGCTCAGTTTCACCAGCCCAACAGGCCATCACTAGCCAATACTGAGGCTACATGGGATTCATCCCAAGGTTCTGCAAGTGCTCCATACAGGAATTCAATGGATAGGGGGTCATCCCACACATCCACAATTACTCCAGACAGGGAGTCACACCGGGGGTATTCACAGTATTCACAAATATCAGATAGTGCTCCAGACAGGGAGACTGACCGGGGGTGTCTACACAACCCACAAACTACAAGAGAAAAAGAATGCCAGCAGGAACATTTGTCAAATTCCGCAATTGCTCCCAAAAGGAGGTCAACAGCAAGGG